ATCACTACAGTACAATAGCTGTCATAAATCGATATCTAAGAATTAGTAGCTGTTGTAAACTATATCAAGTCTATTGTGTTATAATTTATTATAATTTGGTTATTGAATACTCACATCAATTTTGATATTATAAAAGGTAGTGTAAGTGGTTGATATATTCAGAAATTATAAGGCCTTGATTTGATAATACTAAAATTAGAGGCTTAAAACGGGCCTTAACAATATTTAGTCTTTAGTTACTATCTTTTAATATTGGAGTTTTTTCTTTTCTTCAATACTTGCATTTACGAGTGACACATGAAGAAAATTGCTTAACAGTCCTACAATTCGAAAATAATACGAGTTTTATCATATCGCATTGTGTTGCGCCTCGTCCCAACCGCCTATTAAAAACATAACGTTACTATACATTGACTAGAACACAGCTTTATATCTGCATAAAATCTCGCAAGCCCAAGTAAACACCTGACTGCTTGGTAAGAATTCATATCCAACAATATCTGCGATACTCTAAAATATTGACCATATGATGATTTTTTTGTTATTAAATAAAAAATCAAGACATTCCATGATTTAAATAAAAATTCTTAATTAAATATCTGGATCGAGATGAGGTGTGTATACCACGATGAGACATGAAATAGGAGAGGCTCATGCGCACCTCAGACTCCATTCAACTTATACTCTTTCTATCGGTATATTTAAAATTTTAAAATACTTTAATTATATCTCATTCCCTACTTTACTCACCTCAATATTTAATACGCTTTCAATAATAATATAATAATATTTCTCGTTATATTCTGAACGCAGTGATGCCGTTATAATTCTCTACAATGGCGTAGTTCTCAATTAATGGCCGATATAATGAAGCTTGTCCCTTCCGGTTTGAGCCAATGCATAATCGATCATGGCTGGTAAGTCATAGTTACCGTGTTCATCCCATGAAAGTCTCTAGAAGTCAATGTTGAGTATTGAATCAGAATTTAATGTCACATGGCGACGAAAATAGCGGTTACCACGAAAGTTTCCCATCCACACATCATATCGTTCTTCAGAGAGGATGTAACCTGTTAATTACAAACAACGTGATTGACTTGTTTATATTTTACCACCTGATGCAAGCCGAGGATTGTATGGTTCACCGAAACCAGCACCGGGCCTGTTACAACCCACACAGCGGAGGAGCACAGCTGACCGTGTAGTAAAATCACAACAGGTTTATTTTTATTGGGTAAATTGTTCTTATCACGTCCATAAGGTATCCGGTGCATGTTCAAGACGAAGCCATCCTCATTTGTTACATGGTGTACTTCAACTGGGTATTCGTATTTTGTAAGAAGTTGTGGCTAAAAGGTAAGAATAATATCATGAAACATTTTATACTTAAAAAAAACACGAAAATTTAAGGTCAAAATATGAAACTTTTTAAAGTATTTATTTTATTTACACATCTTGCACATTAGGTGCATTGGCAGACTTAATGTCATTTTCTACCATTCAACCATTGGGTGATGCAGAGAAAATAGAATATAGGTGAATTTTGTTTACAGTTAATTTTATTCAACTAAATTTAACAATTTAAACTGAATACAAAATCACATATTTACACATCCACAAACCTATCATATATTACACCTATACATATTACACATATGTAAATACATACAGTACAGATATAGGTAAATACAGTACAAAAAAAAATTATAGTTTTAAAAACTAAAAAACACGCTTTCTATAGAAAACCAAACTAAAAAATATAAAATACATTTGAAAAAAAAAGCTATTATTACTGTATAAATAATTTTTATATAGTACTTAACTTAGGTAATTCTTGGAAATATAAATATTAGTTTCACAATAAGAATTGATCCAAGTAGTTATTGGATCAATTCTTATCGTGAAACTAAAACTTTGGGTGAAATACTAATTTTACATACATTACACTGACAAAAGCCAGAAAATGATATTTAAGCACACTTGAGTTAGACACAATATGTTGGAACTGATCAACCTTCTCGGTGTTCTAATTATTTTATTCTCTTACGTAATAATAATGAATTAATATGTCTCTAAAAATAATAATTCAGCAAGTTTGGTTTGTTTTTGTTCCGTAAAGGACTAACTATTCGTATAGTGACTTTATGGTATCGGGAGAGTGTTAAGCAACGTGAAGCGAGATTGACTTCAACACACTGTCAGCTTAAACTACAGGGCAACATTACCGCCAGGCCAGGGAGGCATTATGGTATTTATCTGTGAAGATTGTAATAATGATGTTTTAACAGCGAGTTTTTATTTGTTTTTACACGCTTTTTATTAGTTTCACCTGTGTGTTTGTTTGTAATAGACTCCTTTGGGCGTGATTTTGACTGACTTTAAATATTCAGAAGTCGTTCAAACTTTGTAGATATATCGAGGACCGATGCCAATATACTAATTTAAAATAAATAATAAAAATAAATAGTTTAAAAAAAGTTTTTTTTAAACTATTATTATGTTTACTTGATTTCAGGATAATCGGTAGCCTTGTATTGGATATGCTAATGAGCTATTTTATTTATTTATTCACAACTTTATGCACTTAAGTACATCGTCGGAATTTATGCTCTGGGCATTCTCTACCAGCCAGCCTTTGGGTGCTGGAGAAATCTCCACTCCTTCCAGCCACTAATCACCAGTAATAAATTCACGAATAGAGTAATATATATACATTATTACAGGGTAAGTCGACCTAGAAAGGATGTAAGCCTGTGCGGATACGCGTTGGCAGTGTCCGTAACAAATCATAATATCAGCATATTCCTAGTTCGTATAAGCCGTAATCTTCAACAAAATCAGAAGCATTAATCAAAGTCCACTTAGCTATAGTTAGTCATGAATAGAAAATGAAACATTCCAAAAACTAATAAATACTAGATACTAACGGGTTGTAGTCTAATTCTTAACACTCCCGATCTTTCATCTAAGTTTTTTTTCTATGAATTCTGATACTATCCTAGATTATTATACCGCGTTAGATAGCTGGGAATACTTATATATATTTAACAAATCTTCAGTTTAACTGTCATAGTTTTTTTTTTGAATATTCGTCAATGAACAAACATTTTTTTACAAATTTATTTCTTTTACCTTTTATCCACCACCATCATCATCACCATCATAACCATCTACTTCGGCCCAAAACAGTAAAAAAGCATACATAAAGTTGAAGATATAAGTTCTAAAAAAAATTATTAGGCAAAATAACAGCGATTTTTATAAATAATATTATGGTCTAATTATGGTCTGGTTTCGGATATGGTATTTCATAGTATAGTAGACCAAAACCTCCTTTCTAAGGATCCTCTTTATGTCCAGCACTGGACTAGTAAAGGCTGTTGATGATGGTGAAATCTATAAGAAATCATGGCGACTACAACCCCTTAAGTATCTAGGTCGACTTACCCAGTAACCCTGTATAAAAATAATGCGATTCAAGCGATTACGACTAAATCAACGTCAGTTATAGCTAATGTAGTCGAATTAAAAATATTTTTTAAATCTATATACATAAATATTAAAAAAAAAACATCGGGTACAGGGACACACACTTGTCTACACCAAATTCCATTTTGATAGAATTCCTAAAGTTTTCCGTCACCGTCCGCCAAGTAACTCTGTCAATTGTAATTTAGTGGGTCTAGTAATTTCAAATCATCCATATAAAGAAGGTGAGATATAACTTGATCATCTTTCTGCAACCTATAGCCCAACCCTCAACCCTCTAATAAAGTACTAAGAAGGTTCAAGGCCAGACAAAACCACAAGGGACTTGAGTATCACCTTGAAATATACCCGCTCGATCTTTTACCGCGGTCTGCCGACATCCTGGATAGCGAAGTGCTGTTCTCCATTGCCCCATACATGACTTCAAGAAAGTGCACAGAGTTGTATCAATTTAATACAACTCCAGCACCATTAAAAGCGATGTATATTTGGAACCGAGTCATAAGCCTTCTTATAGTCTATCCAACATGTCGCCAAACTCTTACGATTACGACGTACCTGTTGGCTAATGGTCATGTCTATGGTAAGGTGCTCTTTAGTGAGAATTTGACATAATCGAATTATTATTAATGTGTAAAGTAATTTTGAGTCTCAGAATAGATGATAGAAGTTTATACATGGTCAGTAAACATGTGATGGGTCTAAAATTTTTAAAGTAAGTGGGTTATGATAGTGGTTAAAAATTGGGGTAATGAACCCGAATCCAATACCACCTGGAATTGAGATGCCAAACACGCATGTGAGAATCGGAACCACTTAAGCCTAAAGTTGTGTAGTTCGTCTGGACCAGGTGATTTCCAATTGGAATGCCTTAGGCGTTAAGTTCGCCAATGCACCAAAATTGAATGATGTATAAATAAATAAATAATTTTAATTATTATTAATGCTATGCTATAAAAGTCAGTTTGATCAATATTAAATGCACAAAGTATTTGGATAAGGAATTACACTGTATTGTTCAAAGTATCTTCGTAAATTACCCTTTTTTTTGCAATATGTAAAAGAAAACAATTGTTGGAGTGGGTTATGCTTAGGAGATAGATATATACCATGGTGGACTTTTTTGTAGATCTTTTTAAAATATACATATAATTCCGTAGTACATTATTTTGACCTACCTATCTCGTAAGGTTTAGCCAGTGCAACGTTTGCAATGTAAGTGCACAATAACATGTTTTTAACGACTTCACATTGCAAATCTTTGAAATTCTCAAATTTCTTCTACTGTAATATGCATGTATAATACTGTTATACATATAAACCCGGCTCGTCAATTACTCTTTCTATTGGTGAAAACCGCATTAAAACTCAACAGATAATGACAGTCGTCTTAAATAACGGTGATTTTCAACAATTTTCAAGCCGCAACTTTAATTTTAGAATTAAATTTGATGTTTTACAATTATCGATGTTATCTTATATCAACGTAAGCAAAACCACTAATATTTTATTTACTGCAGGAGACTAATGACTGTATCATACAATAGTTTCTTCACATCAATAGCCCACATGAAGTCAATATGAGTAAATCCAGCTAGCGGCACTCGTAACATTCCCATGGGTTTTCCTAGTTCTCCGAACAATCTTTGTACATCCGCCACCGCAGCAAGAGGATCATTGTCACCGTAGTGAAGGTATACTGGTGCAGTAATCTTACTAAGATCATATGCGGGAGGCGAAAAGCTGCCGTAGGCCTTCAGATTTTCTACTATGTTGCCTTGATTGTATCTGAGGAACTCTTTACCGCTAATGCTTTGACCGTAATGAGCTAACTGTCTAATTGATGAACCAGCCGGCACGTGACCAGTAATAACTGGCATTATAGTCTGTAATAAATTCACCCATAAATCGAAAGGAATTAGTCGCTGTTATAAACTACATTAAGTATATTGTATAATGATATATTGGTGAAAAATGAAGATAACGGGTGTCAATCGCGTTAGGTACATCGGGTTATTGAACACTCACATCGATTTTGGTCTTAGTTATATTAGGTGTAATAGGCAGTGTAAGTGGCTGATATAATCAGAATTATAAGGCATTCATTGGATAATACTACAATGGGCTCAAAACGGGCCTTAATAATATTTAGTATTAGTTCTACTATATTTTAATATGGGAGATAAATTTTTGTGTGCATAAATTGCATTTACGAATAACACAAAGAAAATTGCTTAACTTTCCTAAAAGTCGGATATAATACGAGTGTTAACATACCGCATTGTGTTGTGCCTCGTCCCAACCGCCTATCAAAAACAGAATGTTACTACACATTGACTGGAACATAGCCTTATCTCTGCATAAAACCTCGCCAGCCCAAGTAAACACCTGACTGCTTGGTAAGAATTCACCGTGTCCAACAATATCTGCGATGCTCTAAAATATTAACCACATAATGTATTTTTGTTACTCAATAAAAAAATATAAACATTCCATGATTTATATAAAAAAAATCCAAAGCAAATATCTGTATCAAGATGAGGTATACCACAATTAGGCATGAAGTAGGAGAGGCATGAGCCCTTTACCTCAGAATCCATTTTACTCGTACTCTTACTATCGGTATATTTAAAATCTAAAAACGGCTACTTTACTCACTTCAATATTGTTAGAGAAAGGTGCTATGGCTTCCAATAATGGATTACTATTATGAGCCATGTAAGCTACAGGAGCGAGCGCCTGCATAGAAATTATCTTCTCGTTGTATTGTGGACGCAGTGACGCCATTGTAAAGAAGCTCGTAGTTCCCATTGAGTGGCCGATATAATGAAGCTTGTCCTTTCCAGTGTGAGCCAGTGCATAATCAATGATGGCAGGTAAGTCATAGTTACCGTGTTCATCCCATGAAAATTTCCAGAAATCAATGTTGAAAATCGAATCAGGATTTAATGTCACATGACGACGAGAATAGCGGTTTCCACGAAAGTTTCCCATCCACACGTCATATCCCTCTTCGGCCAAGATGTAACCTGTTTGTCATAAACAACATTATAACTTGTTTACTTTTTACCACCTGATGCAAGCTGATGGTTTTCTAACTCACCAAAACCAGCACCAGGACCCGTAAGGACCCACACAGCGGAGGAGCACAGCAGACCGTGCATTAAAATCACTATTGGTTTATTTTTATTGGGTACATTACTCTTATCACGACCATAAGGTATTCGGTGCAATTCTAAGATGTAGCCATCCTCCGTGGTCACATGGTGTACTTCAACTGGATATCCGTATTTCGTAATTAGTTCTGGCTAAAAGGGAAGAATAAAATTATAAAATGTTTATAAAAAAATTAACAAATTTTGGAGTTAAAAACATTAAGTAGGTCTCCTACTCATAAAACTTTTTAAAATATCATCCTGATTATTTTTATGCTTTTAGTGAATGAATGAAATACTTGTTAGAAATCATCATATATTGTTTATTGTACACATACATGTAATTAATAAATATTCGTAATTCTAAGTGAAGTCACTTTTCCACTTACCACATTCAAACGGGCATCTTCTTCGATATTATTTGAATACCGCGCCGCAAATCTGGCACTACCGTTTAATTTTACAACTGTTTCATCAAGAAGAACATTTCGAGTCGTAGCCAGAGTTGCGCAGGAGGCGAACACGACGAAGTACACCGAAAGCATACTTCGTACTTTCAGCGGAAGCCGCGTAGCAGCAATGTTATATTTTTACTGTTTAAACAATTTTATAACGTACTTGACTTTGATAATTCTTTGATAACTACTTGGATCAATTCTTATCGTCGCTGAAAGTTAGTATGCATTAATGTACTACTACTAATGTAGAAAATGTAAACTCATTATTAGACATTATAAACATACATTTTATTTTACCCAAAACACTCAAGCCGTCCCCCCACCGGGGTTTGCGGTGGGAGCGATATGTCGGAATCAAACCGGTTAAAACTATATCGCGTGCAACTCTGCGCTTGAAATTGGAGGAATCCGGGGACAGCTATTGTTAAGACATCCGAACCCCTCCTGGCGTCAGCCCGCAGTAGCGTGGTCAAGTCTCCAGCGGATATGGCCTCGTCGTGGCTTGCCATTATGGCGAGTGGATGGGAATACCCGTCCTGTCCCCAAGCAGAGCAATCTGCTAGCGTGTGCTGAGCCGAATCCTCACTATACTCACAATTGTGACAGGCTAGACTCCATTCCCTCCTAGCGACCGAGTACTTCCTGAAGCAACCATGCTCAGAAAGCACCTGCGGAAACGCTCCCGTACCGCAGTCCTGCCCATTCAACGATGACCGGCTGAAACGACTCCTCGGTGGCAAAGCTAGCACGTGGAGCCTCCAGCCGGGACGACCAACAAGATATCGAGGCTCGGTGAGTGGCCTCACGCCGGGACGGGGCCAACTGCCGCACATCCCACGGTGGAGTACCAATGCGCACAGTGGTAACCGCGTATGGCTCTAATCGCTAATATCTTCTGAATGCGTCAAAGGCGAGCCTTTTTCTGAGCTGAGCCTGCGCTTACACCGGTGTACCAAACGTAGCGTGTATTAACGTTGGAGCTACGTTAGGTCCACTTAAATTAGGCAAAAGTCACCCAAAGGCTTTTGTAGCGCTGATCAGCTTTGGGGCTATAATAATAATATATATAAGACACATAACGCCATCTAGTTTCAAACTAAGCAGACCTTGTATTATGAAAGCTAGATTGACTGATAGAATACTTTTACGGACGGTTTCCTTAACAGGACCAACTTTCCGCTTCCAGCACTCAGGGAAACGTTCGGATGTCAAGTTAGCGTGAACACCTCTATGTAGCGGTCTATCATATGGTCGAAGGATTAGAGCCAGCACTCAGGGAGATATCCAGTCTGTCCCGGAGGCGGTGCTTTTAGAAGAAATTCGATAGGTGGAACATCATCTTCCTCGTTCACGTTTCTGACCAGAGAGACCTTCGAAGGGCGTGTATTCCGCCTGTTGCGAGAAATGGCCCTTTCTCTATTTTTTTCTCTGTTTATTTGGACAAACAGAAAGTTTAAATTGTTTGTGTTATTATAGCAATCATTCATTTGCTTCTAACTTGTTAAATTGCCAGAGCAATTTAAAATACTTCACATCAACAGCCTTTAATGGTCCACTGCTGGACCCTTAGAGGGGGGCCCTTAGAAAGGAGGTTTTGGCCTACTATACCACGCTGGCCAGACGGGTTGGTATAGGGTTTGTGTCAAGTTTTCCTTCTCTCTGCAGTGCTGTTGTTCTGCGTAGTTTTTTTCCTTAGTCGGCTCTTAAGAAACCCACGGGATGAATAGGGGTAGGATGACACTCGGTATTCTTAATCCGTCACCACACGGACCTATTTAAAATACATCGATGATATTTATTTCTAGAGTTTTTTTTTAACTTTTAAAGATCTTGTGAAACTATCTGTACCTGCACGACCCCACATTACTTCTGGATGATTTTAATTATTAATTCTTTGAAACAGATTGTCCACTTTGGACTTTGGCCTATTTGCAGACAGACGGAATTTATTTTACTCGTATACCTAGGTATAAAATAAATTGTTGCTATCACCCTTTAACCTACATCATGGTAGGTTGGTTACCTGTTGAAAAGTGACTACCGCCACCGGTGGTCACTTTTCAACAGGTAACCAACGAGTTTACCCCTTCTACTTAATAAAAATATTTAGATTCAAAAGTTTTAAAACATGAAGTAAATTACTTCTTGAATTGTTTACTTACTTGCATGTGCCATCATCCTTACTTGATCGCTGTTTCTAGCAATCTACATAAATTACTCATTACTTAATGCTATTATAACATAAATAACTTTTTAAATGACGGATAATTGTAAATTGTTTTCTTATTTTCCTAACTCTAACATAATTTAATTCAACAATGACAGGTAATCTAATCTATAATTCAATGTAATATAATCTAATATTAATATTGAATTAATCTAAAATTGATATTGAAAACAATAATTACATTTTTAGCGAATTAACATTGAAGCGAATTTCTAGTGCGACTAACGAGTTATATAGGGATTTCTTGTTTGTTAACCGACTTTCAAAACACAAAAGAGGAGGTGCTCAATTCGTCTGTATTTTTTTTTAATGTATGTTTGTTACGCGATTTCTCCGTCAATTGTGGACCGATTTTCAAAATTCTTTTTGTAATCGAAAGGGTATGCTCCCGAATTGGTCCCATTACCACCAATTCAGGATTTGATGATGGGATCCTAGAGAAATCGAGCGAAACCCTCACAATTATTGGGAATTTGACAGCCCCGACAACGTGTTTTAGCTACGAGTATTTCTTTAGCCAAACAAACCATGGCAACCGTCACAGACTGCGCGATGTGATGCGCAGAGAACTTGCAGTATTTATGTCACCACAGTAATTTTCGTTGCATTAAGAAGAAAAGGTTGAAATTTTGTATTCTATCTTGTTAAAATAATTCGGATAGACGTTTTGTTGCTATGGATGGCATCGCATTTCGTTTGTAAGTAATTTTATATTTAATTTATTAAAATAGTTCTGGAAAAAAGTCAAAATTTTGTGTGGGTCAACTAGGTTAATTTCTAACATACCAGTATTAACCCTTCTAGTTGAAACTCCTTCTATAAAATATTGAGCATATTTGTTGAGTAGTCTCACTAAAGCTTCCCTATCTTCACCTTCGAGATCAGTGTCAATTGAATCGAAAGTTATTTTGTTCGGTTGCAACTCACAAGAATTTGACTGTTTCTTAGAACAGAATTTAAGCTGATCTTGATCAGTTTGGACGCCAAGGTCATTTTATAAGATATCCCTACCTATGATGAAAGGTTCTGATAGGCAAGAATCCGGTACTACATGAAAGAGTAAGGTCTGAGTTCATTGACTTCATTTAAAATTTGAGTATCACACCTTACATCATCACTCCCAATTTCAGTTAGGTAACTTCAGTTTGTTACTATACATTACGGTACGTAGTGTTTTAAATATCGTACTTATCTACTCATTACAAAGATATCCTACACTAAAAATGGTAAAATAAACCCTTTTAAAAAAAAGTTGAACCGACTTCAAACAACACCGACAAAGAGCACTAAAAATTAAAAAATAATTACAAATCTAAGTAAAAAACTATAATAAGTACTTACTTATTGTGCATCGAGCTTGGCACCGACTTCAAACAGACTAGATGGGACTATTGGTATTATAATATTACCTTGAGGGTTACATTGAGGGTACTTTGCATTTGTATGTCTTGATGACAAAACATAGGCCTATAAGATTATTTAAAGACGACACTGTTTTTTTCTTAATTTGATTTGAGCACCTGTTCTACAACCGTGTCGTCTCTACCCATACCCCTCAGGCGCGGTAGTTCTATCTAATCTGCGTTTAGCTTTTAAGAGTTATAGTTTAAATAAGCAGCTTCTTCTGGAATTATCAATCATACATGCCATCGGTATCGATGTAGCTGACCAATGAGAGTTTCCAAAAAATAAACAATGCCAAATAAAAATTACTTTTAAGCCACCACTTTTATTTAAGATTTTCATTTGGTATTTTTACAATTATCTATATTAACTTATATCAATATCAACAAAACCACTAATATCCACTCGTTTCATAAGACGAATCACTCTGTCATAGAGCAATTCTTTCACGTCTTTAGCCCACATGAAGTCAATGTGGGTAAATTCGGCTAGCGGCACTCGAAACAGTCCTATGGGTCTTCCTAGTTCTCTGAACAACCTGAGTACATCCGGGATCTCAGCAAGAGGATCGTTGTCTGAGTAGTGAAGGAACACTGGTGCAGTAATCCTATTAAGGTCATATCTAGGTGGTGATATTCTGCGGTAGGCTCGAAGATTTGCTATTAAATTTCCGTGGTCAAAACGACGGAACTCGTTACCGGCAATACCTTGGCCATAATGAGCTAACTGTCTAACCGATCCACCAGCTGGCACGTGACCGAAAATAACTGGCATTATAGTCTGTAATAAATTAAAGGGAATTATTATCAATGTAGCACAAGAGTACCCGTAAATCGAGATATGGTAATTATTCATTGCGCTAAAACATCAAGGTGAGAAACTGTATCGTTTCTGATCGGTAAAGTTATTAGACCTCAAATCACATTAGCTGTAGTCTTGGTTAGAAGCAGCATAATCTGTGTAATGCGTTAAAATAGTCGAAAAAAGAAACAAATTATTGACCAATACTAAGTTTTTTTTTTCAATTTTAAGTTTTTAAGATGCATTTACGAAAGACTGCCTCGATGGTGCAGTGATAGCGTATGCGACTTCTGTTCTGAGGTCTCCGAAATATTATTATTATTATAAAGACATTATGATTACTAACTTTAATATTTCAATGCGTTAATATCACTATAAATTGTAATAAACTATATTCTTCATTCGTTAGTTTTCCACCCTTAGGGGTGAAGTTTTTTCAAACGGGAAGTTATACCCTTTTAAATAAATAAAAAAGAGTTCTAAGTAAAGCAATATAAAAAAAGAGAGCCGAATTAAGAAATTCCCCTAGTTTAATTAATTCGATTAAAAATTGTTTAACTCTCTTATCACTAATGTTATAAGTAAGTATTAACATACCGAATTATGTTGTGCTTCGTTCCAACCACCAAGCAAAAACATAATGTTACTGCAAATAGGTTGGAACACAACCTCATCTCTGCAGAAAGCTTCGCCAGCCCAAACAAATACTTGCCTGCTTGTTAAAAACTCGCCGTATCCAATAATAGCTCCTAATCTCTAAAATATAAGCAAATCACGTATTTTTATCAACTCAAAAATTGACTGCAGGAAATAAATAAAAAATATCTATATCAAACATCTGTGTCGAGCAGCAGGTAGATAGACAGATAGATAATACTTTATTTGTACTCCACGGTTTTTACAGAGGTTATGAAACTTTAAATTTACAACAAAAAATTATGTGCAAAGGAAAGCCTTAACCCTTAGAGTAAGTAATCTTTTCTAGGTATCATTAAGATCTACTAACAACAATTTTAATTAATAGTAGATGCGCGAATATAGATAACCTAAATTTTATTTTTATCCGGTAGTTGACAACGTTACGATTAACATACGAGTATGTATTTCATTTCAACGCGGGTCCGTTCGTGGTCATTTATAAGATTATTATGAAAGTTGCAAAAAAGAAAGAGAAAGAAAGAAATATGCCAAAAAGGGATTTCAGAAAAAATGTCCCTTACTGGGTTTTGATCTGGGGCAGCCCAGCAGCAGCGCGGCCACCAACCACAGACTTGAAATTTGCGATTGTTGTAAATCGACTTTTTTAGTATTTCTTTTTAACTGAATAAAACGGCATTTTACCACGATATAGAGGAAGTTTCGACGAACAAAAGTGTTTTTGAAATTCATTCCAAGTTGTCCCAAATTTATTTTAGAGCTATTCTCCGGAAGGCTTTAGACATTTTTTTTAACAATGTTCCTACGAAAGGATCCGCATTGAAATGAAATAATAATATGTTAATCGTAACGTTGTCAAGTAACGAATATAAAAAAATGGAGATCAATTTCACGATTTTTAGACCCATTTTCCGCTAATTCTATCCGACTATAATAGTACAATAAAGAGCTCAGAAATTGCTGGTGTAATGTTATTATGGACGCACGACGAGGAAAAAATACTAAACTCGCACCCTTCACCTCAGGCCCAGACTCTATTCGACTCGCGCTTCGTTCGCTATATTTTTATAAAAACAGCTTTGAATTTCATCTCATACCCTTGTTTACTTACCTCAATATCGTTGGCGAAAGGTGCAATAATATTCAATAGTAGATTACGATTATGAGCCATGTAAGCTACGGGAGCTAGTGCCTGCATAGTAATAATCTTCTCGTTATACTCTGGACGTAGTGATGCCATTGTAAAGAAGCTCGTAGTTCCCATTGAATGGCCGATATAATGAAGCCTGTCCTTTCCAGTGTGAGCCAGTGCATAGTCAATCATAGCAGGTATGTCATAGTTACCGTGTTCATCCCAAGAATATCTCCAGAAAGCAACATTAAATCTCGAATCAGGATTTAATCTCACATGGCGACGAGAATAGCGGTTACCACGAAAGTTTCCCAACCACACGTCATATCCTTCTTCGGCCAGGATGTAACCTAATCACCACAAACAACATTATTAGCTTGTTCAAATTTTACCACTTTATCTAAGCCAAAGATTTTATAGCCTACCAAAACCAACACTTGGGCCAGTAAGGACCCACACAGCGGAGGAGCACAGCAGTCCGTGTTGTAAAATCACTACTGGTTTATTTTTGTTTGGCACGTTATTCTTATCACGTCCATAAGGTATTCGGTGCATTTCCAAAATGTAACCATCGTCAGTAGTTACATGGTGTACTTCAACTGGGTATCCGTATTTCGTAATAAGTTCTGTCTAAAAGGAAAGAAAAAAGTATAAAATAATTTATGCTTTTTATGTAACACAAAAAAAAAGACCTTTAAGATATCAAAATTTTGAAACTTGTAAAATTTAGTTTTGAATTCAATTTTTTCTTTATAAAATTAAAAACTCGTTAACAACTTCCTTATTTATTGTACATAGAAGTTATAACTATTTCACTTACCACATTCAAACGGGCATCTTCTACGATGCTATTTGAATATCGTGAGTTCAATCTGGCACTTCCGTTAAATTTTGAAAATAATTCATCGAGATGAATATTTCTGCTCGTAACCAGAGTTGCGCACGTGGCGAACACAATGAATAACACCGAACGCATTTTTAGCTACTTACGGAGAAAGCTCCGCGGCAGCAATGTTCTTTTTTTTGTATAAATAACCTTATAAAGTACTTGACTTTAATAATCTCTTGATAACTACTTCATCGATCAATGTTTATCATCGCTGATGATCAGCATGCATGTCTAAAATCCACATCATTAAACATTATAAAAATACTTATTTCAACTTCTCAATCTTAATGATGTACTCGTGATAATAAAAGCATGAAAATAATATTTAAATACGCTTCAGGTAAACATAACTTAGAAAAATGTTCTGCCTATGAGAAGACATTGTTACTTCTGGATAGTGGTCTGCAATAGGCGAAAGTGAACTTTCATTTTGGCTAGCTCTTTATTAGATTTAGTAAATATTTGAGATCTAAAATATTATATCACACTTCTAGATAAAACCACAGAATACATACCAGTACTAGTAAAAAAGGACTCCTCAACAAATCGTTTAAGTAAATAGCGACCCTTTCTCCCACACAAGAAAATTAAATTCATATTGCCCACTTTTAATAACTTTGTTTTATATTTAACTAGAAGTTCTCTCTTTACACAGAAGACACTTTACACTAATAGATTAATGAAAGTTTAATAATAATATAATTATTAAATTAAATTAAATCAATCCTAAATAATGTAAGAATATAGAACAAAAATTTAAAATTGAAAGGGAAGTATAAATTAAGCAAACTAATTAATAGATATTTTATTGTTGAAAAGGTGGAACGAGTCTTTTGATTGATCATCAATCGATCGATTGATTTGATTTTTCTAAATGATTGTGATATCATAGTCTTGGAGCTGGCCCGATGCCGCCGGAGCAAAATAATACATTCCGAAAGCCAATTCGCAAATACATTTGGAATTTTGACCGATCTTTTATTTGAAGAAAGGGCCTTCTGTTATTAAGTAAATGTATATGTTACTGTATTTGGAAATTGACTTTCAGAATGTACTATTTTGCTCGTAGGCGCGGTACCGAACTACGGTAAATCCTAAAATTTACCGGTAAAACCTAAGATTTACCAACGATAATCTTAAATGTAAATCATAAATTAATCAAATCATCAAAATTTACATACAAATGATAATTTTTCGAGTTTTAAATAGTTATAGTCAAAACAGAGAAAAGTTATTTTCTCTTATTCTTGTTTTTATTGGTCATTGATGGCGGCCGTGTGTTGATTGGTTGACGTTGAAAAAGTTAAGTATAAACAGTAAGTATACATGTAAAAAATATCTATTAGCTCTTAGTCTACATATGCACAATCAAAATCATCACACCTGACCTGATAAAACCCCGATATCGGTAGCTGTTAAAGAAATGTTTTTTTAGGGTTAATGAAGTTTTAAATTTTTTTTAGGGTTCTGTACCTCAAAATGAAAAAACGGAACCCTTATAGGATCTCTTTGTTGTCTGTCTGTTTATCAACACCCTTTATCTCGGGAACCCGTGGAAGTATCGAGTTCAAATTAAAACCATATACTCAGGTCTACAGTCCTTTGAAGCTTTATGTCACCAAAAAAAACGCATATTCCAATACTCTCAAGTGAATAAAATTTCATAGGGTACTTCCTGTTAAACTAGAACTATGAAATTGGGCAAGCAACATCGTCTTTTGCTACAAGGTTTTGGAGACTAAATTTTGGGAAAAGCTATTCAAAACTGCGAGACCCGTTTCCTGAACTATTCATCATAGGTATCTACCTACAAATTTGTACGGAACGTGTGTTTGTGTGGCCGAGTCCAAATCGCACTTGTTTAGACTTTTTTAAGATAAAACGGACAAATGAGCAGTCGGGTCACCTGATGGAAAGTGATTACTGTCCCTCATGGACGCCTCATCATCATCATCATCAACAGCCTTTAATAGTCCACTGGACATAGGCCTCTCTTTAGAAAGGAGGTCATGGACGCCTGCAGATTAGAAATCATAAGTGCGTTGCCGGCTTTTGAGGTACAACGTAAACCTATAACCCTTAAAGAAAATAGCGTTTGGCTATTTTCTTGAAGCGGTAGGTCCGTATCCGAATTTAATCTCCTTTATTATAGATATAAACGGGAGTTTGCTAACCCAGTATTCGCCCAATCATGTCCGAAATTATTCGTATCCTATATACCTATTAAAAGGTTCATTTATTTATTTATTTTTACTTTATGCAAATAAATTTCGTGAGGGGCTTAGTACCGGTTCTTAGTACCGTAGACTTTTTCTTGCAATATGCAAAATTATGCAGGGTTGCATATGTGTGTGTGTGTGTGTGTGTAGTTAAACATCCAATCTCATCAATTCTCAATGTGCAAAAGATGTGCAAGGTGTTAAAAATAGCTGCAGAGACATTGTTAATATCTACTTGAATTCATTAAACAAATATTAATGAATTTTAAATATTAAATTGAATGCGTAATATGTTATGTAAACAATTATTGGCAGGTCTTCATAAATAAATAAGAAGTCATAAAACAAAGTAAAAAGACACTATTAAAGTATTATCCTGATGACCCCTTCAATAAATGTCTTAAGAGCTTGCAAATAATATGACACAAAATTTTGTTTAAGATTTATAGATACATTTACTGATTTTTACAATGATCTGGACAGTTTTTAAAATTGACTAACATCAATGCTATTAAAACCACTTATATCCACTTGTTTCATAAGACGAATCACTCTGTCATAGAGCAATTCTCTCACGTCAATAGCCCACATGAAGTCAATGTGGGTAAATTCGGCAAGCGGCACTCGAAACAGTCCTATGGGTCTTCCAAGTTCTCTGAACAACCTTAGTACATCCGGGATCTCAGCAAGAGGATCGTTGTCTGAGTAGTGAAGGAATACTGGTGCAGTAATCTTGTTGAGTTCATATGGAGGTGGCGATGTTCTGCCGTAGGCTCTCAGATTGGCTATTAAACTTCCTTGGTCGTAACGACGGAACTCATTGCCGGAAATACCTTGGCCATAATGAGCTAACTGTCTAACCGATGCGCCAGCTGGCATGTGACCCATTACAACTGGCATCATAGTCTGTAACCAATTTGAGATATATTTAGCAACCAAGAATTGTAATACTAACCATATTTATAAACATATTGAAAAGCTAGCAGTAGGCGCCGACGCGGAGGAGTTTTTTTGACGTTTATATGTATTTATCGTATACATTATAATTTTTATAAAATCGTGTAAATAATATATGTTCCGAGCTGTTAATAAAAGAAAAACAATGCTTTTAGGGTTTAACTGTCTCTAAGTCTCTAACTGTCTCGAGCTACACCCCTTTTTTTCTTTTTCCTATCGGTGGCATGTCGGACACGAACCGACTAAAACCGCACGCCGTCTCGGGTACTAATAGCCAGGGAACCAGGTATACCCTAGAAAGGAAGTCCCTGGTGCCCCGACATACCTCGGGCCATCTACAACAAGTAGACGACCTTGCCTCGATCACCTTGCCTGGTCGGAGAATCCTCCCATTGTGTTGGAGGTACAAGACACGTTATTTAGATGTGTCTCTTCAATACAATATACACGTAAAAATAAAAAATATTATAGTACGTAAATATGTCCAAGCAGAGATCTAAGTATAACTTTTTAGTTTTTATCAGAGACATGGACTTTCTACTTACCGCATTATGTTGTGCCTCGTTCCAACCGCCAAGTAAGAATATCATGTTACTACAAATTGGTTGGAAAACAGCCTCATCCCTGCACAAGGCCTGACCAGCCCAAGTGAACACGTCTCTACTTGTTAAAAACTCCCCATAACCGATGATGGCTCCAATGGCCTGAAATATTATAAATATGTATAGATTCCTGAAGGGAATACTTTGTTCCACTTTATCTTATAGCGTTTCCGACTGGTAAAGTGATAGTAGTAGGAGATCGTAAAACTTGAAAAGGTAACAGGCACTGCCGATAACAGGGAATTTCATGAAATAGAATAAAAATACATTGAATTTGAATTTCAAACCCCTTTTTCCAATTATCAGTTATTTTTACAAACTTTTAGTATTTTTTGCTACTTGCTGTAGAACTTGAAAACAGTCAATAAGGAACTCTAGGAATTCAACATGTAATTTAGTTTTGTATAGCAATCTGATCTCAACTTAAAAGTAGTGTACAAGAATGAATTTACAATACATTAAACAACGAAATTTGTATGTAGTAGGGACTATATTTTACTGAAAACCCAGAATTGTAAGTCGTGTTTCATTTACTTACCTCAATGTTGTTAGCGAAAGGTGCTATGGCATTCAGTAGTAAATTATGGTTATGAGCCATGTAAGCTACAGGAGCAAGCGCCTGCATGGAAATAATCTTCTCGTTATACTCTGGACGCAGTGACGCCATTGTAAAGAAGCTCGTAGTTCCCATTGAATGGCCAATATAATGAAGCTTTTCCTTTCCAGTATGAGCCAGTGCATAGTCAATCATAGCAGGTATGTCGTAGTTGCCGTGTTCATCCCATGAATACCTCCAGAAATCAAGGTTGAATCTCGAATCAGGATTTAATCTAAGGTGACGACGAGAATATAGATTACCACGAAAGTTCCCCATCCAGACATCATAACCTTCTTCAGCTAGGATGTATCCTGTGTGTAATAAATGTTATTGTTAATTTCGGTTCTACTACTGATGTTTACTACTATTCTGTACTATTCCACTACTTGATATCAATAAAAACTGTATAACTTACCAAAACCAGTACTTGGGCCCATTAGGACCCACACAGAAGAGGAGCACAGCAGACCATGTTGCAAAATCACAACAGGTTTATTTTTATTGGGTACATTGTTCTTATCACGTCCATGAGGTATTCGGTGCATTTCCAAGATGTAGCCATCCTCAGTTGTTACATGGTGTACTTCAACTGGGTATCCGTATTTTGTAACCAATTCTGGCTGAAATGGTCATAAAAAAGTTTAATGTAGTTAAAGTTCTAAGATCTCGACGATCGTCATTAATATTATCATACTAGAAAGTTTCAGAAAAACCTAAAGGAGTTTGCAATAGCTTAGTACTATCACTCTTTGTTAACCGACTTCAAAAAAAGGAGGAGGTTCTCAATTCGACTGTATTTTTTTATATGTTTGTTATCTCATAATTTTTGACTAGGTGAACCGATTTCGATGTTCCATTTTTTTTCAATTAAAAAATATTTTGCCAAATAAACGGATGTCTGAGGTAACTGGCTTAAAAATCACTTACAACATTTAAACGGGCATCTTCTTGGATATTGTTTGAATAGCGCGGAGTCAACCTGACACTCTCATCAAATTTAGAAATTATTTCATCGAGAGGGCCCGATCGGGCCAAAGCCAGCGTTACTAACGCGGCAAAAACAACAAATATCACCCGCAGCATATTACACTACTACCAAGAGGATCATGGTGGCCCCTTAATATATTTTCACAAATATGATAAAGTATATACTTAACTTTGATAATTGTTTAATCAATCACTATTAAATCCGCAGAATAAATAGTAATACCTTCTTATCATAGCTAAATTTTTGAGTGACGATCATAATATTTTCGCACAATAGGTGTGGTATTCATAATCCGTCACCACACGACCAATTTGAGCTTTGCCACGTTGATATACGACGTTGTGGGTTCGATCCCCACATGGGACGACACTTTGTGTGATCCACAAATTGTTGTTTTAAGTCTGGATATGCTTTGTATCCGTTTCATGTATTTTTGTAAAGTCCTCCGCGACACTGGATATATTCCTATTGCGGGAGTTGTCTTTTTAAACAAATAAAAAATAAAAAGGCGGAATTTTATCTCCTCTTTTATTCTCTACCTTTATCAACCTCATAACTCAACACCTTCAGTGTGCGTATCACCTATATGCCGATGATCTGCAGCTATACTCACAAGCATCGATGACGTCAACAGGGACCTTGATTTTATAAAATCCTGGTCGATCAGATTCGGATTGTCAGTAAACCCTACCAAATGCCAGGCGATCGTAGTCGGCAGCAAACATATGATTGGAAGATTGGATACTACATCAGTCCCACCAGTCTTCTTCAACAGCTCAGTTATACCTTGGAGCGCGGTAATCAAAGACCTAGGCCTGCTCATCGACTCAACCCTAGATTGGCGTGCTCAAGTTACTCATGTGAGCCAAAAAGTAACGGGTAACCTGCGAACACTATACCGACTTAAAAATTTCTTTGCCCACTAAAATAAAAACCTCTCTCATGCAGTCCCTAATTGTTCCTATAATTGACTATGGTAATGTGTGTTACTTCGACCTGAATGCAGACCTCCTCAATAAGCTAGACCGTCTTCTCAATAACTGCATTCGATACATATTCAATCTTCGCAAGTATGACCATGTGTCTGCTTTACGCTCCCAATCTAAATGGCTACCTATTCGCTTGCGTCGCAATCAGCGAGCTCTGACCTCTCTCTTTTCATTCCTCAACTGCCCATTTTCACCCACCTAACTCGATCCTTACATCCATTTCTTGTCCTCTAATCACGACAGAAATCTTAGATCAACGAATAATTTGCTTCTCTTGTGTCCCCCCCACAACTCAGACTTCGTGAACTCCTCGTTCTTTGTACAAGTAGTTCTGCTCTGGAATGCGCTCCCACTCGAAATCAGGATGTCCACAAACCGTTTCGCATTTAAAAGGAATGTACATACTCGTAATTACCTTCTTGAGGAGATGGCGAAAGTGACTTAACAAATGGTACACCTCCTAAATTCAAGCATTTACAGTGTACAAACATAAATAATATGTATTTATATCTATATTTATTTATATATATATGTGTAATTATATTTGTATTACATTATAACTTATATGTATAATATTTGTAGATTTTGCTGAGTTTTAGATAAAAAAAATATTTATAATCATTGATTACAATCGTAACCTCGGTGCACCTACCCTACAAGATTTCTACACCACCTAAAGGTTGGCTGGTAGAGAATGCCCAGGGCATTAAGTCCGCCGATGTACATAAGTGCATGAAGATGTAAAATAAATAAAATAAATAAATAAAAGAGCTATTGATCTTGCCTTGATCGAGCTAGAGGTTTTCGAACGGTCAAAAGTTTTCTAAACCACAGCAAAGAATATACTCAAAACAAACTATCTTCAAAACAAAAACGAAAACTAAACATTGCAAAAGAGGTATGATGCCACAAATCGAGTTACACACACCTTAGAACACGTAATATTTCTTTGGATCATCCAGATCAAGTTGGGTCATTATGCCATTCTAAATGAAAAATAGTTCGTCTTCTTCAACAAATAAATATGTATTATTTAGCCAGAAGGCCTTTCATTCTGTCAACTTTTAGCAGCCCGCCATGAAAAAAATCGTTCCAATCATTTTGCAATGAAATAAAGGAGTGTGTGAAAGAGGAAGTGATCAAGGAGAATCTTCATCAATAATTTGAAAAGAGCTATTGATCTTGTCTTGATCGAGATAGAGATTTTCAAACGGTTAAGTTTTCTAAACCTTAGAGCAAAGAATATACTCAAACAAACTATTTTCCAAACAACAAACTGAGCCAGAGCCGGTGTCCACGAGTCATCCGCAAAGTTAACCGAACGACGCACAACACTTCACGATCACGGAGTCTCGGTGCGGCCGTAAATTTCGGCCACTTGTGGAAACCGAAACTGGAACTAAAACTAGATTTCTAAACCTAAACTGGCTAAAACCGAAAGCGAGTCGATCACTAATTTGAAACTTTCAATATACTGTATTAGTTGTGTTTCGAATACCAAATTAGCTTGTAACTTAAGCCTGCGGATTCCGGAAGAAAAACCAGATAAAAAATAACCTATGTGGGACATATCAGACTATAATGTGTCGCTGTACCTACCAAATTTAACCCAATTCCGTTCAACCATTTCGGCGCGATTCCATCCATCCATCCAAACTATGACATTTTTAATATTGATACAGATAGGACTGGACTAAGCACCAGACAAACTATATCACTACTAGTTACTTTCCATTCCATCTTAAGTTAGGGTACATTGCGTGTTACCAGGGGATCGTCTAAAAGTCGTAGATAGCCTGGGGTCCATCTGGGTATCAGGGATTTCCTTTCTAGGGTTCCCTAGCGACTGGTACCTAAAACGGAGTGCGATTTTTAGCTAGGTTGAGTCTGACATAACCACCCCACTGGTTGTCCGGTGGGTGGTATGAGAGGCCGACCACCCCAGAGCATTTGCTTGCTTTTCGGTATCGAAAAATCTAACGACTTTAATAACAGACTAAAACCCAGTCAGTTACTGGCCCTTTCTTACTTTCTAATTTTTATTTCTTTATCAATTAATCCTTAATTAACTATCTATCAATAAAAATAACAATTATTATTTATTATTATCAGGATGTTATCGTAAAAACTTACATAAAGATAAACATGACACGTTATATAATGTAGCATATTTGCAAAACACTACGAGTACATGTATAAAAGAAACAAATTGATTTAATGAGCTTTGCAAGTTAAATTACAATAATACCGGCAAGACTGCTTAGGTAACACTTAACACCATCTGTCACCCTAGCAGAAGCAGGCCGGGGTGGCGGCGAGCGCGTTGCGAAGCGCGCTCGCTTCCAGGGAGCTTCCCACACGGGGGGGGGTCGTCTACTCGTCTGTAGATGACCCGAGGTATGTGGGGCACCAGGGACTTCCTTTCTAGGGTATACCTGGTTCCCCAGCTATTAGTACCCGGCGAAGGCGTGCGGTTTTAGTCGGTTCGAGTCCGACATGCCACCGACAGGTGGTATCCGAGGGGATTTCCGCACGGGAAAAAAAAAAAAAAAAAAATAGGTAACACTTAACAGTAACAAAAAATATAATATGTTTACTCATATTGAATTGTAGGAGAAGACCAAAGAATTACGAGTATAAAGCTTACTTTAGTCCATCAACGTCGTGCGCGACCGTCCTGCGGGGTGGCAGACGGTGGCGGGGATGAGGTACTCCAGATGTCAGCGGGTAGCGGGTGGTGTAGCGGGGAAGGGAAACACTTCTCTTCGTGTGTAGCCGTGTGCCAGAATGACATGCTGCCTCGCCCCCGCCACTGTCTGTCACCCCGCGGGACGGTCGCGCACGAGATTGCCGAGTTATAGACATAAGCATGTAGGTCGTACGTTTTTGTACCATAAACGTTCCATAACACGCACAGAACTGAAAAACCGAGGTCATAGTTACCTACGGTGTACTTACTCTAATGTACCGAAAAATACTGTTATGCGTTCCAGCCACCAAGTAAAAATACATTAGCATTTTACTGCAAACTGTGTGAACCAGCCAGACTTTGCAAGTCCAATTATTTATTTATTTCAGAAAACTTTACACACATTTGTATAAAGTCACACTTAATACTCAAGGCATTCGCTACTGCGGTATGTGCATAGCATTGTGGATGGGCTGCTGCTGGACCCCACGTACTTTGTTTTTAAAGGTAAGACGCTTTGTGAACATCATGGAGGAACAAAAAAAACATTGCGCAACCCCCAAATAAATTTGAGAAAATAATTGATAAACTGATCTAAAACAAAATATGTTCAAAAAACATTTAGTTTTGAGCTACGCAAGATGTAATACATAAAACCACAATGAAAATTTTCATACAAACGTCATACCTTGGTTAATATAGAAATATTCTAGAACACGCCAAAATGTGCCAGTGATATATATAATAATTATCACATTCTTACATGATCAGCCCCGGATCCAGGGGGGTTCAAACCGAGGGACCCGCCCCGGGCGGCAGTTTCAGGGGGCACCAAAATATTAGTATATACTTATATACTTGCGCCACAAAGCGCCTAGTAGGCCTGTTAGTATATATGTTATGTTAGTGTACATAGTTTAGTTTAGTAGGTAGAAGCCTGTTTGGCTCACCGTCGACCTGTAAGAAGATGCCACACAAACCCACACTACAAGTGAACTTATATATTTGTAAGTTTTTTAAGTAATTAATCTCAAATGCTAGAGAGGGGAGTTCCACTATCTGTTTCTGCCCCGGTTCGAAAAAATAGTAGAGCTGGGGCTGTACATGATACATTTTAATTGAATACCCGCATTCAAATCAAGCATATCGTACGTAATTTGACATTACCAAAATATAAAATACAGATAATACGTATTACAATCATTATCAACGCCCGGGACAAGGGGGCCGCCCTTGATACGCATTATCTGTTTCATACGATAAGTTTTATTTTAAATTAACACCTTATTTGCCTGCTACTTAACAAACTCAACTCAATAAATAAATTACCACATAGCTTAACTGAAAGAGCTTATTCCAGCAAATGTACTTGGACCAAAACGAACCATATACCTCTATTAGCACCGAATTTATAGAG